CATACACAGTTTCAGTTGTAGATATGATAGAGCCCAGTAGGCTCAGTAATCTGTACACCAGTTGATTAACAGTTAAGAGGCGGACCAAAGAGCCGAAGCACAGTTAGGAGAGTACACATGCAAGGAACTAAGTAAGAATGAAGCTGGGTTTTGGCAACAGGCGGCCAGCCATAAGGTACTCAATAGGAGAGGAGAGGCAACCCTCCTGGTATCGAACAGGGATACATATGAACATCGGGGTTGATATGACACCGAACCTGTCGCCAGAGGCTCAAATCAGCGGCGTATACAAGGATGGTCAACTCATGAACTACCTTTAGAAATCTAAGGAATCATTCAGGACGGTGTGTGTGTGTGTGTGTGTGTGTACGTGTACGTGTACGTGCGTGCCTGCCTCCCTCACATCTCAAGTTAAACAGACGAATACTTCCTTCTGTCTGATTCGTAACTGTTTAATTTTATTGTGTGAAGTCTCGTTTACTGATAACAAACTTGTTAGCCAATCCCTACCATGTTTCTACCTGTTTGCCAGTTGAATACATTCAGATAATGATCCTATTTAGTGAATACTCACTTTCCCTTAATTTTGACAAAATTCACAACTGGAAAAGGCCGTTAAGCCGTTTTCAAATTGTTATAAAACAGGTTTTCAGGTTAGTCATGTTTTCTCCCCAGAGATTATATATATATAGTCGTAATGGCTTGGCGCTTTCCCCCTGATATTTCCCTTCCTCCTCAGAGATAAGACAGGCGACTAAAAAAAAAAAAAAAAACATTCCAGAAAATCATTATCACAATGTGTGTGTATAGTTGTTATCGTGGCTATAAGAGGCACTCGTGGTAACGACTGGGAACAGTGCCTCTGGAGGTAACAATGGCGCCGTCGTTGAATACTTATGTTCGTTGTTAATGTCCTCCGTGTCGAGTGGCGGGTTGTCGTGCGTCTGGGTAGTGGCGAGTGCGACGGGTCGTTACCCCCTTGGGGTCGTGTTGTCGCCGCGTCTCAGCCCCGTGAAGACGCTTGACTCGGCCACCAGGTTGGGTAGAGTGGTGTACTTAAGGTGATACTCAAGGTCTTACTCAAGGTGGTGAGTAACACCTTGGCGAGGTGAAGCGTTATACTGGGCTGAGTGAGGTAGTGGCGAGGAGTGACGTTAGTGTGTCACACTGTGGGTGGCGCTGTGGGGAGGGTGTCACGCTGTGGGTGACGCTGTGGGGAGGGTGTCACACTCTTGGAGGTGTCACTTAATGATCAGAATTTACTATGGGCATCCTATCCTACTCGATCTTACCCTCTCCTCCTCCCTTCACCATTAACCTTCGCCGCTTCTGGTAACCGCCAATCGGGCCCCAAGTTAAAGATATCTACTTGCCTACTTCAGCAGCTCCGTAATTACGCTAGACGAGAGCCGTACGGCGTAAAACTTGCTACCCTGACCTTTATAAGGGAGGGAGGGAGGGAGGGGGAAGGCAGGGACGGAAATAGGAAAATGGGGGAAGAAAGCAGAACAAATTTAAAAGCAGAGGAGATTATGATTGAGAGTTGATTTATTTATTGTGTACGAGTCGTCTTCGGGTGCCCCCGAGTCCCTCCTTCAGTTCCACACTACTTTCCCCTCCCTCCCAGTCTTTCCCTTCCTCCCAGTCTTTCCCTCCCTCCCAGTCTTTCCCTTCCTCCCAGTCTTTCCCTTCCTCCCAGTCTGACAAGTGAGCTCTAAATGAATGTTCGAGCAGCCCTCATCTGCAGTCTGCAGCAGTCCTCATATACAAACATCCAAAGTCCATTCCATGTACCCGCCAAACCCCATGTTTATATATGAAAAACGGTTTACACACGACTCACAACTGTTGACGTTCGAACACTTCCGGAACAAGTGCTTCACTGACGAAGTTTGTTCGATCCACAACGCTGTAAATGCTTCACCCACGTACTACAAATACAAATAATTGCCAACAGAACCTAAACACCTAACCTAACCTATGCCTATATATGCACAATATGCTAATATATTATATTATTAATTTATATTTGAGAAAATTCCCGTTTTGAATGAAAAGCATGTTAAAATTAATGAATGCGTCTGTGGGGTTGACCGCTGGATGGAATGGACTTGGTCTGAGGACAGGTGCTTCACTACACCTCATGATGAATTCTGTAATATTTTAAATTGACCTGGAATTTGTTTTGTTCACTGATTTTTATATATATTGTAAAACAAACTCACTGATGTCCACAAAATTCTCAAAAAATTCTATTATACTGCGCTGGTAATTTGCTGTAATATGCAAACGTTAGTGTTGACAGCACCCAGCCAGGAGGCTCTCCACGGTGGTGCTGCGTAATTATAATAAATAAATAAATTAATATATATATATATATATATATATATATATATATATATATTTTCAGGAGAAGAAAATATCAGTGTTAAGTGAGGGTCCACAAGCAAGTCACGTCATTATAAGAAAACTGAGAACTTGACAGTTCTTGAAATATGAAAGTTTGGCAACAGAATGGCGGTGCTTCGCTAGGTGGAAGACATACATCAAATACACTACCCTATGGTGTATACATCATACACTAGTGTATGTTCCCCATCTTATTATGGCAGCAGTTCTTCCTAAGCCCGCTCTCTTCTAGTGTAAAGGTTAAGTGCCGGTGGGTCAAGATAACTTAACAAGTTTGGTTATCGTCTAGCGACTTCCTCCGGAGGGGGAAGAAGGGAAAGGGGATGGGGTGGGGAAAGGGGGTGCATAGTGAGGAGGAGTAGGGAAGAGAGGAGGAAAGCAAGAGGCTGCAATACAAGAGGAGCGTCACAGATCAGGAACATTTTTGTCCTCTTGCTCTTGTTCAATATGTCGTGGAGGCAGTGTTGATGTCGGACACTTTACCCATTAAGAGTTACAAGAGAGTTGCTCTTCGAGTGAAATCGCCGGGGCAGGACCCAGTAATAGTTAAATGGCTGAGGCAAATGTAATGGTTAAATTAACTGTCTCCAAACACGCTGGAGCCCCGACTGTAAACGTTTTTACGGGACGTCCCAAGCCAAAAAGCCAGGGATCGGGACGCCTCCGCTCTGGCCGCCAGAAAATTGAAGTAAACTCGGAATGGCTCCAAGGTTGAATTCTAATTAGCCAGATACGTTTAACTGATCCTTAACGGCCAGTGTGGGTTCCAATTATCTTCCGGAGCGGAGGACGGCGCGCTGGCCGTCTGCGCGGGCCCAATAAAACAAAGGTAATAAAATTAAACACTCGGCTCATTTCCAGGGAAGCCAATCGTTTCCGTGACAGTTGTGGATTCTTCCAGGCAGCGAGGAGTCGAGGCATCCAGAGCGCTGGAGCCAGGGAGGCGCCGGCCAGCGCTGGGGGGGGGAGGGACACTTTTACCCCCCTCTTGGAGATTTCTCTCATATTTTTTCCCCCCATTTTTTTCCCTTCCCATTTTGGGAACTATTGTCTCCTCAGGAGCTTTGATTTAGAAGATAGAGTTGAGGCAGGTGGCGGCTCATCTTGTGTTAGATAACTATTTTATTTGCTAAGAGTTCTTGCTAGCTATTGTGTACTTGTCTATTTGTGGTTTAGAATTGAGTTTCAGCTCTTGGATTCGGTCTTTCCCGTCTTTGGTCGTTTAGTACTGCCTCCCGACCTTCAGGTGCCAACCATCTCGTCTTGAGTGTCACACAGCTCTTGACACAAAGAAGTTCTTCTTTAAGTTCCTGTGGATCATAGTGGCCCAGTTTCTATTAATGTACTCATGCTGTTGATGCTCAATCTAATCTCTCCCTCTTCCACATTATTCCCCGCAGTATTTCGTGAGTATATTTGCCTATTTCTTCTCAACTATTCGTACTTGCATATTTGTTTTTGCCAATTTTCAACTATTTTTGTGTTCGCCTCCCATCTTTCAATCCGCATGTGGTGTAATGCATTATTATTAACATCTTTATTGAAAAAAATAATTACAATTTTGCCTAATCTGAGGATTTCAATTAAGTCTTATTAAAGTGAGGATAATGCTCGTATTCACTGCCACACAGGTCAGAGGGTCATACATAAGACAATAGGTCTAAACTGTAGGCTGAAGCACATATATATTTACACATGGTTACAATCAATAAGCACATGGTTACAATCAGTGTTTTAATGTATGAATATGTAAATACAACTTTCTGTTGTGCACTGCCACACAAGGGTAGGGATGGGTTCATTAGTGATGCAGCTTAAAATTAATATAAATAGAATTGTTCTTCATTCTTTAAAATGGACAAGCAAATTTTGGATAAATTGTTAGGATGTCGTCCAGAACACCTGAGTCAATGAAATAGTTACACAGTTGGTGGTACAAGAGGCCAGGAGGTCTAAAGTCTTTTACGGTTTCACATTCAACAATATAGTGTTCTAGTGAATGCATTAAAGGTTTGTAACAGAGTTTACAATCTGAATATTCTGGTAGTGGCTCAGCCTCACTAACCTGCCAGATGTGTCTATAGTCAAGGCAAATTCGCGCAATGACTACATCACATTGCCTGGTCCGGTTACTGTGCTGACCATACAAATACCTGTTATTACAAAAGTTGTCTCAGCTTTTAATACTGCAGCTTTCAGGTGTCTGGGAATTTGTTAGTTTTTCTAAATCTGAATGAATTTCTTAATCTGTGTGTTTCTAATAATTGCAGTAGAAAATCCAAAGTCATAATCAGTGTTTTCTTTCCTGCAAGCCTCATTGGCCAATTGATCTAAAAAGTCATGTTTTCTAACTCCAACATGGGATGTGATCCACACAAATTTTATACAATAGTTATTATCATTGGCAAAAATTACATTCCATTTAATATTACAAGCTACTTCAGACATACATTGTGATGGGTTATTTAAGGAATGCAGAGCACTTTTAGAGTCACAGAATATCACTCCATCACCATTGAGCTTAAGGTACTCAAAAGCTAGATAAATACCCAATAGCTCACTCTGTGTCGTGCTTGCCCAATCGTTCAATCTCAGAAATGCAGCGAGTTCCGGCACAAGCCTACACGATCTTTCCTACTTCTGAAATTGTGGATGGAGTTGACTATTATTTTCTCGTCTCCCGGTGTAGGTTCAACACCTGCCAGGTCTCTCGTTGCAGGTTCAACACCTGCCAGGTCTCTCGTTGCAGGTTCAACACCTGCCAGGTCTCTCGTTGCAGGTTCAACACCTGCCAGGTCTCTCGTTGCAGGTTCAACACCTGCCAGGTCTCTCGTTGCAGGTTCAATACCTGCCAGGTCTCCCGTTGCAGGTTCAACACCTGCCAGGTCTCCCGTTGCAGGTTCAACACCTGCCAGGTCTCCCGTTGCAGGTTCAACACCTGCCAGGTCTCCCGTTGCAGGTTCAACACCTGCCAGGCCTCCCGTTGCAGGTTCAACACCTGCCAGGCCTCCCGTTGCAGGTTCAACACCTGCCAGGCCTCCCGTTGCAGGTTCAACACCTGCCAGGTCTCCCGTTGCAGGTTCAACACCTGCCAGGTCTCCCGTTGCAGGTTCAACACCTGCCAGGTCTCCCGTTGCAGGTTCAACACCTGCCAGGCCTCCCGTTGCAGGTTCAGCACCTGCCAGGCCTCCCGTTGCAGGTTCAGCACCTGCCAGGCCTCCCGGTGCAGGTTCAACACCTGCCAGGTCTCCCGGTGCAGGTTCAACACCTGCCAGGTCTCCCGGTGCAGGTTCAACACCTGCCAGGTCTCCCGTTGCAGGTTCAACACCTGCCAGGTCTCCCGTTGCAGGTTCAACACCTGCCAGGTCTCCCGTTGCAGGTTCAACACCTGGTTCCGTGAGGGTCACCAGACTGACAACCCCCCCCTAACCCCCCCCCCCCCCATCCCCGTCAATCTAGTGATGACGTAAATTCATACTGTGACGAGTTGTAGTTCTCAGTGTCAACGTGAGTGCCTCAGCTGCCGGCAAGAGTTCTCGGTGTAATTTCTTAGATGTTTCTGCATGTGTCTCTGGGTGGCCTCTAGAGTTTAAACCAACCAAAAATTGTTAGTGCAAAGATTTATTTTTGTTTATGGAATAAAATCTATTAGTTATTTGCTTATATGAATATCATATGCTCAAAGTACAGACGAAATTAAGATGAAGTAATTACAGTTGGTTAAAAAAAATACATATTACGTAATACAGAAAAAAATACGTAATACAGAAACACTGTGGGATGAAGTTTGTGTCACGTCTCTTTCGCCACAAGTTCTGTGGATCACCTGTTCACCTGTGGTTAACATACCTTCCTCTGGTCGTTGTATGCAGCAATTTGGTAGTCTGAGCCAAGCTGCTCACCGAATAGTCAATAAAGGCACCGAGGAGGTTCAGTTGACCTTCTCTAATCAAAGATAAAAATATCAGCGGTTTAATATCAACCAAGATACTGTGCATAAAATGAGTTCGGCATCACGAAAAGACATAATGCATTTGATATCTCGTAGGAATAACATATCGTCATACACACGGTAAGTCAGTTGTATATTAACGAAATGTGCCACAGATCACAGCTTCCAATGAAGCTGTGACCTGTGACCAGCAACTCAGAGGAACCCGACGGGAAAAACTCTATGGAACATCTCAAGCCTGAAAGAAAGTCTCTAAGAGTCATTGGCAATCTTAAGACAACATTATTGTGTCAGTTTGTCTTCCTCGCTGGTTCGTCGTTTGCTCTAAGAATTTATGGCACGTTTGGCTTCAACGGTATCGTGTTAGAGGGTCAGTGCCCTCCTGTACTGAGTGCAGTCCAGTCCAGCTCCTGTTTGCTGAACTTATTACTGTTAGGTTCCCAAATACAGCTCCTGATTGGCTGGTTGTATTATTTTTTTTTCAAATCGTCCCTAATATTGGCCGGTCCATTGAGATTTGTCCCCGTTCAGGCACACGCTTGGCTCCCTCACCAGCTCTTAACATTAACTCTCACAAACAACAGTGCGGGGAGGATTAACTGCATATTAATGCAGAGCGCAATGTGTTCATTTACACAGTGTACTCGTGGATTAGCTCTGAGAACATGTTAACTGTGACCTGTGAACGGGAGAGTTTTATTCTGCTCCCCATTCTGCTGCCGCTCTCCCCATTCTGCTGCCGCTCTCCCCATTCTGCTGCCGCTCTCCCCATTCTGCTGCCGCTCTCCCCATTCTGCTGGTAAATTACCCATTTTGTTAGCGCGCGCTCTATTCCGCTAGCTCTGTCCTTATTTTGTTAGCTCTATTCTTCGCCCCCTCCGTCTATTCTTCGCCCCCTCCGTCTATTCTTCGCCTCCTCCCCTCTATCCTTCGCCCTCTCCCCTCTGTCCTTCGCCCTCTCCCCTCTGTCCTTCGCCCTCTCCCCTCTGTCCTTCGCCCTCTCCCTCTGTCCTTCGCCCTCTCCCCTCTGTCCTTCGCCCTCTCCCCTCTGTCCTTCGCCCTCTCCCCTCTGTCCTTCGCCCTCTCCCTCTATCCTTCGCCCTCTCCCTCTGTCCTTCGCCCTCTCCCTCTGTCCTTCGCCCTCTCCCTCTGTCCTTCGCCCTCTCCCTCTATCCTTCGCCCCCCTCCCTCTATCCTTCACCCTCTCCCTCTGTCCTCCCCTCTGTAGAGTGCGGTGTGTAGGGACAACATGGGAAGCCATTATCATTATCTTGTTTTCAGCTCTTCACTACAGGTTTCTCGCTCCGTTGCCCCTGCCAGGGGAGCCTGGTGATGGGCGGCGGGAAGGTCAGTGGTCTAGTGATGGGCGGTGGGAAGGTCAGTGGTCTGGTGATGGGCGGTGGGAAGGTCAGTGGTCTGGTGATGGGCGGTGGGAAGGTCAGTGGTCTGGTGATGGGCGGTGGGAAGGTCAGTGGTCTGGTGATGGGCGGCGGGAAGGTCAGTGGTCTGGTGATGGGCGGCGGGAGGGTCAGTGGTCTGGTGATGGGCGGTGGGAAGGTCAGTGGTCTGGTGATGGGCGGTGGGAAGGTCAGTGGTCTGGTGATGGGCGGTGGGAAGGTCAGTGGTCTGGTGATGGGCGGTGGGAAGGTCAGTGGTCTGGTGATGGGCGGTGGGAAGGTCAGTGGTCTGGTGATGGGCGGTGGGAAGGTCAGTGGTCTGGTGATGGACGGTGGGAAGGTCAGTGGTCTGGTGATGGACGGTGGGAAGGTCAGTGGTCTGGTGATGGACGGTGGGAAGGTCAGTGGTCTGGTGATGGGCGGTGGGAAGGTCAGTGGTCTGGTGATGGGCGGTGGGAAGGTCAGTGGGCGATCAGGAAACAACAACAGTGATCTCCCTTCCCATTTATTCTCATCCCTCCCTCACTTTTCTCCTTGCCTCGTTCACATCTCTTCCACTTGCTTGCGTTCTTTCTCCGCATTATTCACCATGTTCTCATCCTATCACTGTTTCCTCCTCCTCCTCCTCACCCTCAAATCTCCTCTCATTCGCAATCGTTCCATACCTTTATCCTTCATTTTCAAATTTTTATCCTCCCTTTCCCTTCCCTCCCCTCCACCCTTCCCCTTCCCTTCCCTCCGCCCCTCCCCTTCCCTCCAAAACGTGTTCCGTCATCATATTGGACACATCATAAGGGACAGGAAGACAGCGGCCTGATAATGACATTCAACGCTGTTATTCGCGACTTTTGTCCCAAGTCTTCAAATTACTTTGTACACACTCTGAGGCGCCCTCTTCCTCCGTCCCCCCCCCCTCCCTCCACGGTGCCCTGGGGAGTGAGAGGAGTGAGAGAGAGAGAGAGGGAGAGGAGAGGTGCTTCGGGGACGTGAATGGAGGGAGGGAGAGAGAGACACTGCCTCGCCATGCACTCTATGTATATGGAGATTGAGAAGAGTGCATGAATCGAGGTGAGAGGTGAATGAAGGGAGGGAAAAGATGCGTGGAGGGAGAAGGAGAGAGAGAGGAGAGGGCGAAGGAGAATATGGGATTGTGAGGAAAGAAAAGAACATTTTTTTTAGAACGGGAATAAAAGTTTGGTAAAGTTGAGCAGGTATTCACAGTAAGGAAAAAGGGGGAGGAAAACGGCGAGAGTAGGCGGGAGAATAACGGAGGATGGAATAAAGATTGGAAGTAGAGAGGACATGCAGATGAATTTAGGGTGAGGAGAACCTTAGAACAGAATGATAGAAACTTACGAAATTAAGTGGAGGAAGATTAAAGATAAACAATAGAACAAATAAAAATGAATGAAACGTATATTTGACAAAATCGAATAGTTAACAAAAATATCCATAACGTACAGATACAAAAAGATATGGAAATTAGTAGAAGATAATTACATAGAAACACGATGAAGATACAATTAAGTGGTAAAGAAACAATTAAACTTTTGTCGTCAACTTCGTTATTATTTTTATCATCATAGTTTTTTGTCACCACCACCTTCGTCACCATCATCACCACCACCACCACCACATGTTTTAGCAAGGAAAACGCCGGGCCAATGCTTTTTTTAAATTAACACATTAGGTACATCAGCATTTGTGCAGCTACCCAAGGGAAGTACAGTGTGTCAAAAAGCTAGCTACGCGATGCTAAAAAAATCCCCATCACACAGGATGGTTAGTCATACAGAGGCATGTGATCAACAGTCTGCACTGACAGACTCTGGGTGCATTGTGAGGATATCAACAACACAAGAGTGAATAAGGCAGCAGTGATACCGGGTCCCCATCTCACAGGATAGTTAGTCATACAGGGCCATATGTTCAGTAGCCTCAGGCCTCAGCCACAACTGCAGCAATGATGAAGTCTACGGAATTCTCTCGTCACATTTCACTAACAAATTTCCTCCCATTAGCCGGTCATCCCTAGGAACGTCAGTATAGATCACCGTGTATTTACGCCTGTTGGACATGTGGCTACACAGAGGGTTCGAAAGTTTGTTTGGTTACATCATGTTGGTTATGAGATGGGTAGGCAGAGGAGAAGGGGGGGGGGGGGGCGCCCTCTTCCCTACCTACCTCACATCGGAAGGTGTAGTTGTGAGAGGTGAACCTGGGGGCGTTGTAGGTGGTAGAGGCTCTTGGGGCGTTGTATGAAATGAATATCATAATACAGGTAGTTTGTCTTGGGAGATTCTTGACGTAACCCTAATGTATTTCTTCTCTGATTGCAGGTAAGGTGTTCATTGAGGCGACCGGGTGTGTCGAGGAGCAGAACAGGTACGGTAGTATTACACATGTTTTGTGGTATTTTACACATGTTTTGCGTATTACACATGTTTTGTGGTATTGCGCAGATATTGCGCACTCGTTACAGATAGCCCAGTCAAATTGGCATTTGAGGTATGCATTCCAAATAACTGGCTGGGAACTGCTGGGATATATTTTTTAGGCTCGTCTCATATGATCGTCCACAAAAAAAAAAAAATCCCCCTAAAAATCCCTTTGCGGGTTTTCTGACATTTTGAATAGAAGTTGGCATATTGGATTTTGTAAGTGTTTATGAAAAACAGCTACTACTGGCGATCTAATTGATCTGGAGAGTTGATTTTTTTAATGGTTTTAAGAAATTTAACAGTAATAGAATCCGTGTTGACTATTGAAGACACATTGCAGGTGTGTTGGTATAGTGATCGTTACAGGTGTAGCGAAGTCATGTGTGTTGCAATTTACTGGTATACTAACGTCGGAATATTGAATTAATAACTTGTTATCGATGACATAAAGAGAGAATTCAGTACCACGCAGAAGGGATAACATCAGGTTTTGATTCCCTAAGGACACACAACCCACCTGGATGTGGTAATGTGACACACACACGCACACACACACACACACACACACACACACACACACACACACACACACACACACACACACACACACCCACACCCACACCCACACCCACACACACACCCACCACGGCCCCCCCCCCAACCAACCAACCAACCTGGAGTGCTGCAGGAATGGTGGGACTGGGCATAGCAAGTTGTGCCAAGATACCGACGCAGCCTTAGCGACCATGGTCAGGGGCCAGCGATGAACTAAGCGAAATAAGCGCTCTTTTGTTAGGCTCAGTGGCCCACCCTCGCCTGCTCTTCTCGCGTATGTTCTCATATCTTTGTTATATCGTATGTTCTTCTCCTCGCGTCCTAGTGATGGAGAGAATCCTGCTGTGTGTGTTTAACCAGGACTGGTGTGTGGGGGAAGAGTGGTGAAGAGCCGGGTATGGGGATGACTTGAGGTATAGGAGTGGTGCAGGTGAGTGTAAACCAGGTGTGGTGGCAGGTGTGTGCGTGTATTTGCAAGAACTGTAGAAACATGACGAGCTCTTTATCATGCTCTTTGTCTAAGCTCTTTGTTATATATCACACCACATACTGTCACCCTCTCCACCCATCACCTTGACCATGACTCATAATTTTCTTCCCCCATACTTTCCCCCCTAGTTATTTTTTTCCATTATTTTCCTCCCCATTGATGCTTCAAGCCACTGAGGCATCACGCACTAAGTGACTGTTAAAGTGGCACTTGGCACTTGAAGGGAACCTGGAGTGCCAGATTATGCTCTCATAACTGCTCGTGTGTGTGTGTGTGTGTGTGTGTGTGTGTGTGTGTGTGTGTGTGTGTGTGTGTGTGTGTGTGTGTGTGTGTGTGTGTATGTGTGTATGTCGGACAGGTATGTGGACTTCTTATACTTGGCACTGTGCTCTGTGCTCTCTGTATATTATATATATATATATATATATATATATATATATATATATATATATATATATATATATATATATATATATATAATATAAATAACTGAAAACTCACACCCCAGAAGTGACTCGAACCCATACTGCCAGGAGCACTCTGCTGGCGTACAGGATCCCTTAACCGCTCGACCAACACGACTGGACAAAAGAGGATGGTAGCCGAGGCTATTTCCATCCCCCCGCCGGCACTCGGTTGGTAATCTTGGGCATGGTATTTTATCAAATCAAATTTGGGGCTAAAAGAAGATAAATCAGACTGAAAGAGGAGAAAACAATTACACTAAAAACTTACACAGGGAACTAGGTTCTTTTTATAGTCAAGAACTCTGTTTGGACCGCGCACTAAGGACCGCACATCCACACCAGGCAGTGTGGATGCTTAGCGATAACCAGAATTGGGCTGGGACATCGTTATCTGTGGTAGTTGTAAACACCACAGATAACGA